GAGAAGTATTTCTCGCAATTCTCCTTTGAGCACTTAGGCAGTACAATATTCAGATAGGGTTGCGTTGGTTTGGGCCGCTCAATTTCAACGATATGGACCGCCCTTTGTCGTGACAGATACAAATCCCCAGATGCCTCAAGGACCACACCCCTGGTAAGACCATGTCCCCGTAGCCGAGTGAAAGCAGTTGAAGTGAGAAGAGCAAGGATCCGTTCGTCATCTGAAAAAGATAAGTTAGTGGTTGGGCTCAGACAAAATTTGATATTTTTGGTCAAATTATTCTTTCGGGTCTTCCGGTGCTAATCTAAGATGACGGATATTACGGACAAGCCTGTTTCCCGTTCCCAATTCTTCAAGTTCGTAGCTTCCGAATCGAAGGTATCGGACTACTCTGGCTAGGCCGGCATATTGAACGTATGCCTTGCGGGACGTATTTGGTTTCTTAGGGGACCAGAAGGCCACCTTCCGACCCACCGGTATCGAACCTTGCTTGGGGGCTTCTGGGAGATCTTTTCCCGGTAATCGAGCTAAGAACTTGCTCTGAAGTTCTCCCGCAATTCTGTGAAGCCAGCCCGAGCAATACGCGGCCCAATCCTCTGGGTCACCCGTTCCCTACGGATCATCTGGGAGGCAGAATGTTGGGTAGGGCATAGGGCGCCCACTGATACATTCAGAAGGAGTTAGATTCCCTAGTGTACTACAGGGCGTGTTATTGAGGTGATATACCACAAACGCAATTTCTTTGCTCCATGTGGCAGGGTCAAGGCTCAGAATTTTGCTCTTGATCCCAATGGAACGAAATTTCCGCTCTGTGAGATTCCCTTGCGGCGAATAGGGGCTTATTCGGCTTATCTTGATATTGAATTTCTCAAGAAGCTCTGTCACGTGTTGATTGGCGAACTCAAGCCCATTATCGAAGGTAAATCTACCACCCATGGCATTGTTAAAAGGATTAATTCCAAAATACCTTGAGCGACCTCCGGGGCCGATTTTTTCTGAGGGGCTTGCAGACCACGAATCGAGTCATCTGGTCGACTCCAGCCAGAAGGTACCGAAAACCATCCTGGTCTACGCTTCCGAAATCACAGAGGTCTAGATAGACCCGTTCCCAAGGTTGGGACGCGATTTCAGGCTTTGGAACGTCGATGTTCCGGAGTGCTGGGCGTGGTTTTATCTGTAGACATTTGAGGCATGAATTGCAGATTTCTCGCGCGACCGCCTGCGGATTTCGCATAATGAATTTCCGGCGTAGAATCTCCGAGAGACAGCCTGTACCCGGGTGGGCTTTGCAGACGTGGAGGAAACTGGCGACTTGGAGTGCGAGCTCGTAGGGGAGGAATATCTTGTCTCTGTTTTCCTTTTCGACATAGATTTCCCGCTCGTCAAGTGTCACTAGGTCCTTCTCAAGGATTTTCTGCAGAAAAGCGTCGCTTTTCTGAATCCGATTGAGCTGGGCTGCAGTGAAACCGGTATCTCCGATGGTAAGAATCGGCGCGTCACTGTTGTTTTTCCGGATTCTGCGAGCCCGGCGCGTTTCAATCTGAAGACATGAGTAGACGGAATCAAAGCCCGGTTCAAGCCTGATGACATTTGAGACTCCTCTGTCTAGATCGTCGGGTTCCGCGTAGTCATCGAACTCGCTGATGGGGACGGCTCTGCTGAGAGCATCGATTCCGACCATCATTGGGTCCGTTCCCTTCACATGCTCTATCGACGAGACATTAAAACGCGTTAATCGTTGTATTAAATTAACGACGCGTACGGGAAGTGATTTCCGCATTCGTTTCTCCTCAAGGACTTTCTGCAACGAGAAATGGTCGCTGACCACTGTGACTGGTTGAAGATAAACCTGATCTTCGAAGTACTCGAGAGCACAAACAACCGCTGCCAGCTCGATATATCTGGAAGCTAGCTTCGCTTCTGCGCTAACGAGTGCCCGTGAGAAGTATCCGAGCGGTTGTAAGTGGCCAGATGGTAACTTTTGATGCAGGGCCCCGGCAATGGCTTTTGTGGATCCATCGGTCACAAGAACCAAAGGAAGTTCCGGGTCTCGATGTGCGAGCTCTGTTGCCGCCGCCAAATTGAGCTTGAATTTCTCAAAGCTCTCTTGATGCGCTGAAGTCCATGTGAAAGCCTCTTTCGAAGGAGCGCACAGCTTGTGTAGGGGCTCTAGAATCGCGGATGCGTCCTTTATGAAGTGGCGGTAGAAAACTCCTAGACCGATAAAGGAACGCGTTTGTTTTCTCGATTTCGGCCGCGGAAAGTCAAGTATTGCTTGCACTTTCGACCGAATAGGCGCGACACCCTTTGATGTAACCGTAAAGCCGAGGTAATCAAAGGAACTAGAGCAAATGAAGGTCTTTTCAACCTTCAAAGTTACACCGCACTCCTTGAGCTTTTTCAGAACCCGCTCAAGTGCTTTCAAATGATCTTCGAACGATTGCGAGAGAATAAGCAAATCGTCCATTAAGATCATGACTTCAGGGTCGTCTTGGAAAATGCGGGACACAGCCCTGGCAAAGCATGAGGCAATGTGAAGAAAAGCACCACTTCGACAATCGTGCGAGCAGCAACATTTGCTCGCTCCCCAGTGGTAACTCGAACAACGGAAAATCGCGTGGATGTGTCGAGTTTAGTGCAGCACAAGCGCTTGCCAGCACAGTTGGGGAATTCGCCATTTGTCGGGACTCGGACAGGTCTGTAGAACAGGCCAAGCTCGTCAGTAGAACTTCCAGAGACGTCTTCATACTGGACACAAAGAAGGGCGAGTTCATGAAGTTCGCTTCTATTGTGGTAATAAGATGGAAGAACGAGCTCTTTCTGGCTTTGCAAGTAGCTCAGAAGGTCCGTAGTAGAGGTGTTGGGGCCTGGAGCAGGAGGATTAAGCTGATTTTTGGCAGCTTGAGAGGGGTGTGATCGACGAGCGTCAGCGTAACTATGAAAATCTGCGCTACTGGGGTTGCCAGAGTCGATCAGAAGCGCATTCCAGGGATCACGAGCGTACGAGTTGATTTTGAGAGCCTGTGTGTAGATTTCTGCTCCAGGGCTATCTCGTCGTTGAAAAATGTCTTTGGTACCAGTTCCACCAAAGGAGACATTTGCGGCGTGATCGGCGACAGTACTGCTGATGAGTGGCGGCGCCTTGTGGCCACCTGTCACTAGAATGCGGATTCCAGCGAATTCTGAACCGCTGAATTTGATGATAGTGCGGGACTCGCCTCGGGCCTCCGTCTCGGGGTTGACGCCAGTGACAGTGAACTTGAAGCTCTGCAGGTGCTTCAAAAGTTCGTCAGGGATGTGCCATTTCGGCAGCCATTTTGGCAGGATAACATCGTCGGCGCCAGTGTCGAACATGCCGTTTTTGACGTTGGAGGAATGTTCGGCGAGAGTGACTGTGAAGTCAGGTCTGGAAGGTTCCGAGAAGGTGAGTAGCGCGGAGGAAGTGGGTGGAGAGTTAGAGGTGCGTCGATCTAACTCTCGATCCGAAAAAACCTGATCGTTGTCAACAGGAGAAGCAAAAGTTGTGCCAGTAGCGGAGTCATGGACGTCAACTGAGTCGTCAGAACTCTGGGTCTCGTTTTGATCAGTGCGAGAGGCTCCAGGTGAATGTTCGAACTCCAATAAAGCCTTACATCGAGCATTTATTAGCTTAAGGCGAGTTTTGATCGCTTCTAAGTCGGCTTTGGGTAGCGCGGGGTTGACGGCGAGAGCAATCAGGTGTTCCATGACCTCGATCCTGTACGCATTCAGCTCGTTGATGCAGCTGCATGAATCGATTCGGTCAGCGGAAATGTTGAGCGCGTAACAGGCGCTGATAGGGGACATTTTAGGCGGGCCAAATGTCGTTGAGATTGGGATCGGCGAAGTTCACGGGGTCTCGTTGGCGGGATTGATCAAAATCGGCGGCGCGGCATAACGGAATTGGCGGTAAGAGGTTCACAACAAGATATTGTACCTTTACAAGGCGCTCAAGTAACTGGAAATTTCCTTGGGCGGCGCACGTGGCGACTTTTTCACGTGAAGTGTGTGTTCCAGAGGGCCGGCGGCGAAAATGGCAATTCAGGCGCGGTCGGAGACGAGTTCCACGTCGTTGAAGGCGATAAAATGCGGCAGTTACAGTTTTGACAACTTGACTGACCTCGTTTGTGCGCACAGAAGGGTTACTGTGCGGCGCGCGGACGCGACTTGATTCACGAGCTCCAGCGGTTTATCAAACACGGGAACGGCGGAAGATCGCTCGATTGACTTGGCGAGTGGTCACACCAAGTAAATAACACTTCTAGCTTCGCAGCAGGAAGTGCCGGTGATGAGGGCGAACGTGGGTTCGGATGAGTCCAATGAAGAAAGAAGCTTAGCGATTGTCACCAGATGTAAGCGTCTAAGTACTGCGTCTGCTCTAGTACTAGGCGTTCTCTTTTCTGCTAGTCGTAGCCTCTACTATATTCTTCAATAAAAACACGGGAAAGGTAGTTTCCGATAAAACGTGTATTCTGCACTTTTACTGTGCGCGGACTGAAGCAGTGAACGTAAAAGTGGCAGAGAAGAGCGCGGCGCGAGATCCTAATCAGATCTCTAACCGACTTTCAGCACTAAGACCTCACACTTTCTTTAGTGCTAACAGCTTTTTGTCACTTACTAAGAAGCAGACGGCGATAGTTAAAGGTTAATCTTCTAGAACCAACATTTGTGATAAATGATAGGGTCGACTGATTAAGTGAATCACAATTTATTAACAAACCATCCTGAACTCATAACATAGCATCAACGGAGGGTTTACATAATAAACAGCGGTTAAACTTAAGCAGAGACAGATGGTATAGAAAGGTCTGAAAAATGTTTGCTCATTATCACATAAGTAAGCAAAGAGTAAAATTAATTGTACTTAGCGACATCCAAGAGTGAAAGGTTGAAATTGAATCGGGGAGACCATTCTCTGGTGAAAATATTTCTCTTTTTCCCATCTTCTCTTTCATACGTCCATTATCCGATATTTGGTATGGTTATTGGGTTGACGTCTTCAATAATGTAGTTTTTGTAATTTTATTTGCAAGCTTTCGGCCTACAAGGCCATCTTCAGGCAACTGAATGGTTCGATAAATACAGAAAAAAGTACAATTAACTAACGGTGAAACGGGACAGGTCCCGAGTGAGTAGAATTTGACAGAAAGGGCACCGGTAAAAGAGTATCTAGAGAATTTTTGAAAGAAGTCTAGAGACTTTTTCATGTTCTGGAGATTATTACGGCACTGAGCGAAGAAGAGGGAAACCAGCGATGTTTTTAGAGTCTTTTTAGAGTCTAGCGAGTCTCTAGACTTCTTTCAAAAATTCTCTAGATACTCTTTTACCGGTGCCCTTTCTGTCAAATTCTACTCACTCGGGACCTGTCCCGTTTCACCGTAAGTTAATTGTACTTTTTTCTGTATTTATCGAACCATTCAGTTGCCTGAAGATGGCCTTGTAGGCCGAAAGCTTGCAAATAAAATTTCAAAAACTACATTATTGAAGACGTCAACCCAATAACCATGCCAAAAATGAAATTTATTTTATTATTTTTGATTTTGTTTTTTGGTCTTTTATAAAATGAAAAATGCTTATTAATAGGGTGGGGATACAGAAAATGGACTTTTTACTCGTAGCAGCAACGATAAAAACTTTTTGGGATAAGTTATTTTATTGCCAACCAAAAAAAATTCTTGAAAAAAAAAATTTGAATTTTGATTGTCACGTGATGAAAATCGCCATTAAAAGTGCCAAAAATGCCAAAATAGCCGAATGAACATGGATTTTTGTAAATTACTGTAAAATGTAGTATTATAAGTGTTGAAGGTCATAGAACGACTGTAATTGACTCCGTAGAATACATTTTGTTGGTTTTAGGCATATAAATAGTAATTATGGATCTTTAGGAGGCCGATTCCAAAAAGATTTTGTTACCACCAGATTCAGAATTGAATTCTCTATCACATATGCAGGAATAAAAAAAATCGATGTTCATTCGGCGATTTTAGCATACATTTAGTGCTTTCCCACGTGACCTGAAAAAATTTCAAAAAAATTTTTTTTGCCAAAAAATTTTCTGGGGCTGATTCCATCTTGTCACCAAAAATAAAGTCTCTACGACGTTTGCTGAGAAAGCTCATTTTTTTGTGTCCCCTCCCTACTTATCAAACCAAAACAACCTCCTGAGAATTCTCACCCTACAAGCTTTTAAAAATGTCAAGAAATACGCCGTAGGCGAGCGAAAAGAAGGGGTGCAGGGCGGCCACGGTACAAAATTTTTTATTACCGCCGGTACAAGCCAAAAATAAAATCGGAGAAAAAGATCGCGCTTCGAATTTTGAAGTTTTGAAGTTTGGACACATAAATATTTTCGCATTGGCATGGCGGTCTAGTCACTCCAGTTTGTTAATGAATTCCATAATGTCTTTGGGCACTTTGTCTGAGTGGATATATTTGCAATATTTCGAAAATCGACATCGTTTATCCTTTGAATATGCGTAACAATTGCCTTTGAGTTTTCCATAATCAATTCGGCTTCTTCTGTTACTTTTCCTATCTGAACGATTTTTCTATTCTTTTTTCTTTTCCAGAAGTTGCTTCATTGTGTTTATATACTCTTGCATCTGATCACTTTTTTCGTCAGTTTGAATACTGAAGTTCATATCGCGTTTTGGGATAGCTGCTTCTAATTCTGCTGCTCGCGTGGCCATATTCTCAATTGTAAGTGATGACTTTTCTCGCATCAGTAACTCTTTGATTTTCGAATCCTGCGATTCAGCAAATCTTTCAATGATAAGCAGTTAATCATTTTCACCAAGGTTTTTCTGCTTGTTACCTTGTTTGTATAAGCTTATCAATTTGCTCAGGCACATTACGAAAGTATCTGATCCACGATTGTATGTTCGAAATTGATTCTTATAAAAGTCCGATGTTTCACCAAGCATAGTTGTCAATCTAGTTTTGAATCTTTTCCAGTCATGAAAATCTTCTTGCTCTAGACTTTGAATGATATGGCTTCCTTCTGACTCATTCAGTAAGGTGGTAAGGGCCAGTGTTATTATCTCGTTGTCTTTTAATCTTGAACAATGGGAGTAAATCTCAAGATTTTCGAACCATGACGCGATTGGAATGGTAGCATCGTATTAAGGTGGTTTCACTTTCAACGCGGATGATCTTGCAAAAGATTTTGACGTTGGTGGATCTGATCTCGAAGTTGGTCTTGGTTTCTGCTCACGTGGCTTCTCTTGTCTCTCCGTTTTTATGTTCTCTCGTTTTCTTGATGGTCGTTTGGGTCTTTCTTTATCTGGGTAAGTGATCACTGTAGAATTAACTGAAGCTGTTTCATCAGATGAACTTTCTTCTTGGGAAATTTCGAGTTCTGGGAGACTTTCCGGCTCGCTGTCGAATTCCATTGATGCCATAAGAGCGCTCAAGTTTTCTGCTTCTCTTGCAGCCAAAATTCTGTCAATATCAAGTTTATGATGATTTCTGGCAAATTTTTGCTCTACTGGTCCAGTATGGTCGCTCAGATATTCCAGGAATTGACCGTCATCGCTTTTTATGAAGACATATTTTTAGTTAGGATCAAGAGTGAGGATATTAAAAACAATTGAATTTTTATCTGTTATTGGGATATTCGTTGGATATGTTTTCTCGTCAAAGGAATCATAAATTTGTAATAGTTCTATTCTCGATAAGTCTTCTAGGACTTTATAATATGGTTCTGACATTTTGTTTTCGGGGTTATCTCTATAAGTCTCTCGCCGTTTGGTTCAGTCACCAAATTTGTAGTGCTTGCTTAAAGCACTTTGTAGAGTCTGCTTGCACAGATGCTCAGGTTCCTTTCGTCTTGTAGAATGTCGTCGAACAGCTTTCCTGGCTGTACACCTTCTTTCCACTCTCTTTTCGGGTATTCGGGTCAAACTTTTCTTTTTGTGGCTCAATACTGTAGCCCATTAAGAGCGTGTACCATTTGGCTCTCCATCTTTCGGAATCCATGATCAGTCTGTCTGCCAAACAGAAAACATTTTCTTCCGCCCAGGCGTCGCCTGCTTCTAGCTCGTGCTTTAGGATAGAGACCATCTTTCTTCTTCGCGACTGTCTTGCGTAACGCATCTCGTTTTTGACTTCCCTCATCAGGTTCAACATTTTCTTCTCGTCTTCTCTTTCGATGGCCTTACCATCTCTTCTGCGAGCTCTTTCCATTCTGTCTTCGCTTTCGTGTTCCTCGCAACTCCTTTCCAGACTTTTTTTTGATTTTTGATTTTCGCAGGCGTCGCCTGAATCGTTTGAATTCCAATGATCTTGATCGGGAGGGACTCAATGATCATCCAGGTGTTCTGTCCGCTCGCAGGATATACTGATCTCGACTGGCCAATTTCCATCGCTTGAACGTTTAAGTCAATCAGTTCCAGATCATTTTTCATGTAAATGAAGTCGATCGCGGCTGTACCCGGTTCGTTGTAGCATTCATTACTCCAAGTCTGCATCTGTTGCGTTACCTCTCTTCCTAAGTCGACTAGAAAATCTTCCCAGTTTTCTTTCGTCGTACTTTCAGACCAATCCAAAAGCCCCACGAATTCTTCTGCCATTCTCTCAACCGACATTTCCAGGACTTTTCGCCTCTTTCTACTTGTCGTTCTGACAGTCGCCTCTCGTTCTCGATCATCAATGGTTTGGCCAGGTCTTTGTATAACTCGAACGCGACGCGTTTGATCTGATCACCTTCCGTCCTTCTTTCTTCTTCAATCTCCATGAGACGATTTCATCCATTTTTAAGCGCCTTTTTGTAAAGATTTGCGTCACATCCACTCTTATCGAAGTTCCTGGGATTGATATCTACAATATTTTCAATTCTGGTCCTTTTCTGCCTTTAATTACCTCCTCCTTTCTCATTTGTCTCCATACTTCCGTGTAAAGATTCATCAACGGTCGCTCCTGTGCTGAGCGGAAGTCCGGCGCACCTTCCATCAGCCTTCCGGCTTGATTCCATCCAACACGCTGACAGCGTCTTAATGTCCTTCTTGTTCTTTCTCTTCTGCCTTTCCGACTTTTCCGCTTCGCTCGCCCAATGAATCAAAGACAGTCGTATCTTCTCCTTCCTTCTTGAATCTTTCAAATAGCGTCGCTTTCGTATATCTCCGAAGCTCCTCCGAGTTCTCGTTCAGTTCTTCCGACAATCCTTCCAGCTTAATTTTGGTTTTACTTTCCAATTTTTCTAGAAGTTTTTGTTTTCATTCTTGCTTTTCTGGCCTTTTTAGTTTTGTTAAGGTCCCGGATGATATTTGAATTGCATTTTTATCAAATTTTAACATGTTTTTGCTTTTCTAGAACATAATTTGTTTTCCTTCCAATTTCCTCCCGACTTACGTACACTTGCGGGGCATGAGGAGGGCTCGGCCCTTCAACTTGTATCATTACCTGTGAGGAACTCCAATTTTGCGCTGTATCTAGCTTCGTTAGTGTCCTTGCTACTTGGTCTGCCCTAAATCCTTTTTTGGCTGGGCGGGAGAATAATTCTGTGAACAGAACTATTCTGTGAAAAAACAGAACTATTCTGTTTGAAACAGAACCATTCTGTTTGAAACAGAACTATTCTGTGTCGAGCTTAGCAAAATTCACTTTGATTATGTCCTAGATGGCTTATAATACTTTGGAACTCATGTCTAAGAGCGAAAAAGGATTGGCTTCAGTCCGTCTACGAATCTTGCAGCCAAAAACAATCTATAAACAATGATAGTTTGTTAATAAAAGCTGAGCCGAAGAGGCTATGAAGCACGCTACGGGCCTACGGCCCTTGCGCGCATTTTCTGATAGAGAACTCATTGGGTTGGCAGGGGCAGTCTTTTTCTACCGCTGGGACTCATTTTTGGCAGAAAACAACTTCTGTATTCGCAGAATAATAGTTGTTTTCGCCAAAAAAATTTTTCTTCACAGAATTATTCTCCCGGAAAGGGGGTGTTATCGGGAGAATAATTCTGTTTTTCACAGAATAGTTCTGTCCACAGAATTATTCTCCCGGTTGCCCCTTTTTCTCTCTCTTTTGTGGACATTTTCTTCATTTTAAGGGGTTTCCGTGGGACACTATTGCAAAGATAATGTTCCAATTGTGTGGACATTTTCCCGGAAGGTTGCAATTAGCCTGGCCCCAAAACCAGGATTCGACCAAAATCCGAATCCTGGCCCCCGAGCCAGGATTCGCTCTAATTTTTGTAGCCTGGCCCCCGGGGCCAGGATTCGTCTAGAATTCCCAATCCTGGCCACGGCGTCTGGCAGAGTCAATTAACACTCGCTTCTATCGATTCTCTCGATGGTTTTGCCCAATAATTAATAAATCAAATTATTATTGGCTGTAATTTGCTTAATTTTGTGGTTAAGGTTAGGGACACCTCGCAAAATGACAGAACAGTTTCACCCGAGGGGGATAGGCTAGGGTTAGTTAGGGTTACTGAAAGTAACCCTAAGTAACCCTAGACTAGACCCCGGCATTTGAGACCTAGGGGCGGAGCCCCCAGGTAAGGGGCACTAGGATTTTCTAAATTTACAAAAGTAAATATGGCTTTTCATACCACGTTTTTCCTTGAGTCTCGGTCAATCCTGGAGTTTGCTGAAATCCAGGCGCGAAGCGCATACCCCGGTCTCTTTTGGTCAGGAAACAGAATAGTTCTGTCCATAAAATTATATCGCAACCTCGATAAGTAAAAAGTTTGTATATTCAGTTAAATCCTGGCCGATGGGGCCAGGATTGGGAATTTTAGACGAATCCTGGCCCCGGGGGCCAGGCTAGAAAAATTAGAGCGAATCCTGGCTTGGGGGCCAGGCTAGAAAAATTAGAGCGAATCCTGGCTTGGGGGCCAGGATTCGGATTTTGGTCGAATCCTGGTTTTGGGGCCAGGCTAATTGCATACTTCCTATCAGGGAAAATTTTCCCTGATAAGAAAATTTAAGAGGCAAAAATGGCATATTTTTTCAAAAATATAGGGATATTTTCAAGAAATGAAGGACTAAAGCATTTAAATTTGTCGAAAAAAGATAAAAATAAGCAAAAGAAAGGCGTTTCGAGGATGAAATTCGCCATTTTTCCATAAAAACGTATATTTGAAAAGATTTAAATATACTACGGCGGGACATTTTTTGGGAACCCTTGCCCACTTTTGTGGACATTTTTCCGAAAATTTGGGACAAATAATGTCCACAAAAGAGGAAAATAACTGTAGCTTGATTTAGCATCGAGATAATTTTCTCCGACTACCTCATATTCTTCAGGATCAGCAAAAATCTCTGGAATACGTTGGAAATCTTCATACGCGCCCGGTTAAAGTTATCGACGATAAATAGCATATTCTAAGACTTATAAGCCCATTTTCCTGGAATTCTGATTACCTCGGGGTCATTTGATCTAGTCTTCCAACTCATGATCTGCCCCAGTCCCGTCATCGCGTCGCGATCTTCCAATGTCAGCAAAAAGACTCGGTTACATCTTTCCACATCAAAACTCATCGTCGACGACCCGTTGAGAATGTTTAACCTGTGTCTAATCCAGCTCTCGACATCTTCCAGTCTCGGCTGTCGCATTTTCCGAAATTCTCCGTCTAAACAGGGGTTTTTGAAGATTACCAATTTTCAATCTTCGCATTTCTTTGTTCCTTTACGCTGGAACCAAGAAACGACTTTTCGATCTGGTACAGAACATCTCTCTTCTCATTCCTTAGGCGATGCCGACCGGCCTTTTTCCGGCTACGAATAACACGCGCACTAGAAATCACGATTGATCACCGTTATTCATCCGCTTTGTTTACATTTTCTTCACGATGAGTCAATCTCGAGAAATTTTTTCCTCTTTTTGGTTTTGCATATTTCAGCTTAACCGAGGCATTTCTCCGAGATGCTACTCCAAAAGTGGAAAATCGCAACTGAGGTGTTTTCGGGTTTCTCATCCCCGGGTACCCTCCCAATCCCGGGGTTTTTGCGAATCCCCGGGATTCGGAGGGTCAAATCCGAAATGTTCTAGAAACGCTTTAGTGTTATTTTTTATTAATCTAAAAAGTAAAAATATTCTCAAAAAAGGGTTAGGGTTAGTCCCCGAATGCAATTTTCGTCTAAGAAAATCTGATAATTTGTAATAATCTTTTTATTTGCTTTATTAATTGGGTTAGGGTTAGGTGAGAGACCACTGGAAAACAAATCCTATACTCATTGAGGCGTTCTAGAAGCATCAAAAATGACCACCCTCCGAATCCCGGGGTTTATGCCGAAAACCCCGGGATTCGGAGGGTACCCCGGGATTGGGAGGGTCACCCCTCATCCCTTAAGGGACCGTGTTCTAGAGAATTTTGGATGTTTCTGAGTTTACCGGTCAATTCTTCTCCCCGCTCCCTTCGGTAACTAATCATAACAACAACCCTTTCCACGCTCTGGAATCGGTAGATCGATAAAGACAAGACCGAAATCATTCAAATCGTCAAGGAAAAAATCTGGAGAAATTCCCGTCCTTCTCATGCACAAAAAATGGAAACCTTATCATCGACCCGAAAAATTTTGCTTAAATCCTCCAGTAACTTCCTCCACAATGATTAGGGTTCGCGCCCAAAAATCAAGTGCCCGAAATACTTACCGTGGTTTTCCATTTTAAGGGTAATGGTATACATCGGCGCGGCGCCGCTCGCTCGATCCGCGCTCCGCAAGAACCTATTTCTCACGAGGCCGTAAAATCTGAACGGATCAAGATTTTTCAAGATTTAAACAGATTCGGAATCCTCAAACTCTCTTCTATAAACTGATCGAAAATTAAAACAATTTTCAAAGAGGAACAATGTGAAAAGTGCCAGTTTCCTTCAAATGACATTTTCTCCATAATTTCTGATCCAAATTTTTTGAAAATTCGACTGTCTTGTAGAGAATCGTCAGCTCTACAATTCCTGTGTTTCAGATTTTTGTTTTAAGCTTTCATTAATTTTACATCGCAATTTGTAAAGAGCGCTACTTCTTCTCGCGCCTCTCCGCTGCATATTTCTCGCGCCGCGCTCGGCTAGAAGGGTTCTCGCGCTCTTTTCAAAAGAGCGCACATAATTTTGAAAGCCCAAATGAAAAATCTGAAACACAGGAATTGTAGAGCTGACGATTCTCTACAAGACAGTCGAATTTTCAAAAAATTTGGATCAGAAATTATGGAGAAAATGTCATTTGAAGGAAACTGGCACTTTTCACATTGTTCCTCTTTGAAAATTGTTTTAATTTTCGATCAGTTTATAGAAGAGAGTTTGAGGATTCCGAATCTGTTTAAATCTCGAAAAAATCTCGATCCGTTCAGATTTTACGGCCTCGTGAGAAATAGGTTCTTGCGGAGCGCGGATCGAGCGAGCGGCGCCGCGCCGATGTATACCATTACCCTTAAGAGCGTTTTTGGATGACAGGCCTCGCTCAAATCGCTCTAAGATTGGAAATTTTTCAATCAAGGTAGGATGACAGTGGTGTGTTGTTCCCGGTGTCAACCTTGTGTTCTGCAATTACAATAAAAAAGATCCGATGTTTTCTTGACGATTTCATCGTCGATTATGATCATCTTTTTTTGTATATAACAATTTTATTACATAATGCAATAGAAAAA